TTACCATCCCTTCCTCCGCTCAAGCAGTCTCTCTCACTATAAACAAATAATTTTTTTCACCAGCCTCCTAAGGCTGTAACTTAGTCAAAATTTGTATTCATTACAATAACCTTTGACCATTCACCTTTGTCATCCAGACTTTCCTTAAATCAAAAGCTGTCTTCATCTTTAGCCACCACCATGTCTAACGACCTTCAGGAGTTAAAACTATGTCATAGACCTATTAGTTCAAAATCAACACTATGATTTTCCTTGCCCATAAGGCAAACCAGTACATAAAAAGTTTTGCTACTGTCTCCACAACAACTAATGGGAATCACTTCATGGCCTCAGCTGGCTCTTGAAAGCCCACTCCTGTTAGCCCTTTATCTATAATCTCCATCAGGGTGTTTTCCCCTGGCATATTTGCAGACGCTTGTCACAATAAAAAAAACAAGCCATACAATGAATGCGGTTTCTGGTGATTGGTATTAGAGGAACATCACGTTTCTGGGTCAGACTGTCTGTAACTCCTCACAGCTCATCCGCCCTAACGATAAAGGATGCTGCTGGCCTCACAGTCATCCGCTCCACTCTCATACCTTTCTCACATAAACACCTCCATCTTGAGATGCCCAGTGACTTTACGTGATCCACTCTGGCTTAGGTTGCCCCCTGTCTGGCCAATAGAAGGTCTTACCCGTCATTGAGTAGCCACTCGTGCCCACTGGTGACCGCTCTTTCCCATCACAGGCTGTTTGCTTCAACAGAACTCAGCTGTTTTCTAGAGCTTAGGAAAGGCACGTTCAAGAGTCACCAGAGCCATTCGGATTGCCTAATAGTGTTCACATAGGGAGACAGGTCAATAACAACAGTATTTAATCACTTAAATCCATTAACTATCTTAAAAGCAGCAACCTAGCTACTTGGATTATACTCAGTGAATTTAGATCACAACCGTACATTCAGTGTACATTTCCGTCGGCCCCTCCCCCGTTTCATGGTGGGGACTAAGATCAGACAAAGAAGTTACTGGTCCTAACCTAACCAAAGATGTCACTACAAATAGCTTATTATCACTTATGACACCGACTCAGGTAACAGCTTTTAGCTGACATTGACTGAGAGAGAGACATTGAATGAGAGAGGGACTGGTACACTGCACTCTGAACGTCTAACTTTATCTACCATCTTTTAACTCTATCCCAGCTTAAGGCATCTTTGCCAGATATTACATACGGTTTCAAATAAACATATTATTTATATTTGTCTTTTGCCCATACATCAGGAAATTTAGGCATTACAAATTTCCACTCAGATTGAGTCTGTTGCACTGGCAGTTTCAGCCACAGCACACATCAGATTCAGATAAGCAAACTGTTTCCTTACAGCCAATAACAAACTTATCTTTTGAAAGCAAAACATCAGCTTCTAGTTCTTTCATGGTCAACTTTTCAAGCTGTTTGTTTAATCAGCATTTAGCAACTGTTAATCCAGTACTGCTTCTGCTTATTTGTTCTTACATAAAAATAATTATTCTAGTTCTCAATAACGTTTCACATTTCTCAATCTCAATTTTAATTGTCAAGTTCTCAACCATAGTTTAATATTTGACTTCAGATTTCTCTTGGAGTTTATCAATCTCCAATTAGGATTCACACACTAAGTTTGACGAGGCAAGCACTCTCTGCTTGTGATACTTTTGCAGTTATTGTAAATCATCTGTGAGATTAGTCTCTCTATATCATCTAAAACCTTTTTAAAATGTTTAATTACAACACAATCATCCTTTAAGTTACTTTGATATATTTTGCAACTCACATTTGTTGGAGTCATTAATTTTACATCAACCTGTATTCATCAATTCACTTATAAAAATTAGTATTATAGATATTTTCTTCAAAAGGATTCACTTTAAGACTTCAATCTTTTGACCCTGTTTTATCTCTTGTTCTTTCTCAGACGACAACTTTAATATCGTCATTTAAACACTAATCTTCTTTCAAACTCACATTATTACCAGAAATGTGTCACGTGTTAAATGGCCCTACTGACCACAATCAAGACACTCTCTGTCATCTGGTGAATTTGTTTCAGCCTCAACTACAGCATCACACCCTTGAAGCAGTGTGTCCCATTCAGGAATGCAAACAGAGCTACTGATTAAGCAGTTCTCTGTATTCTTTTACAGTCCACCAGTGGCTGATTTAATCATAATAACCCAATCATAATCTTCATCATTATTATTGGCAGAACATTAATTTTCATAAGCTGCAAAATACTCTAAGTTGTTTTCACAAAGTGTCTGTTTAACTTTAGTCGCTTGTCGAGGGAAATTATCCCTGACCCAGAATTTCTTTCACTTGCTTCTTGTAATCATCGTAAGCAATACAAGGCTAAACATTTTAATTTTTCTGTTTCTTTGTTTGTTTGTAGCCAGTCAAGTTGTTTAAATTTCCAATCAGAATCAAAATCCTGACTACCATTTACTTAATCATTTCTGCTAATTTCTTTGAAGTGAGGGCTTTAGAGCACAGCTGCTTACAGCGTTTGCTTTTCCTGTCTCACTATTTGTTTCAGGACTCTTCAGGTTACTGATTAAGTTATTACATTTTTCTGCCATATCTTAATCATGGTTCATACTCACCTGAAGTTATTGCAGAAATGGAGGCGGCGATCTTTGAACAACACAGCTTGGCTTCTGCGTGATGAAACTGCAAAGTATACTCCAAAATCACAGTTACATATACTGGTCCATGCCAATTTGGGTCACAACTTTTTACATTTTTCTCTCGGAATCGTTCCTGATGCATCCCTGGCAAACAACCCTATTATTGTTAGTATCCCTAACTGCCTGATTCACTTCACTAAGTTCGGGGATCCCCTATCTGAGATGGAAGAGATTGAGCAGGTTTACGGTGCCACTGGACCTCTAGCCCAGGGACGTGCTCTGCTGGGGTGGTGCTACACCAGTAATGCCCAGCGGGGCCCCCACAGAGCACGCTTCGCTTGCGCTGTCTGCTGCCGTTACCCTTAACGACGCTCTCAGCGACTTCTTATACTGTCAGCAGTATAATTAACTTACTCCTTCACTCGCCTCATCGGAGTGAAGCTTCACTCGCCTCATCGGAGTGAAGCTCTCCCGCTCTCCTTCAAAATCTCTTCCAGTCAGACAGCCCTAACAATTAACAAAAGCTTACTACCTTGTTTGTTGATTTGCCAGGGGTGTCACCGAGAATAATTGCCCGCATTCTCCACCATAACTGCCCGCATCCTCCACCATAACTGTAAGGGGTGTACAGTCAAAGACCCAGAACCAGATATGAAGAATGAAGACCCGGAGTCAGAATTATAAAAAAATTAAAGAAAAGTTTTACTGAAGATAGTTTGCATTTTCATCAGCAGAAGTCAGCTTCAAGACTCACACAGGAGTTCGTAGGCCGCCCCCCCTTACAGTTACAAAGATCACAGCAGTTATACCATTTCCAAGGTCTAAGCTACGTCATTGCTTACAGGCTGAATGATTCTCATTGGCTAAGAAACATTAAGAGCCTAAACAATTTAACACATGTGAGGAGATAGGGGTGCCTATCGCCATTAGTAAGATAGTTGTCGTCCACTCATTGGATTTAGGTCTGTGGTGGCCTCGCAGGTTAGAGAAGGGCGCCGGGGTGTCTGGTCCGACCGTCCAGAACCTACATAGAATGTCATACGCACACACACACAAATAACAGACACTAGCAAATAACAGCTCCCATCAAGGCTGAAGAGAGTCTGAGCTCCTTATTATCAGTTAAGTATACCAAAACATACTGGTAAAACATTCACTCGTTTGGGAGAAAAACAGATCACTGGTATTTACTCCCAAGGAAGGAAATATACTGGAAAGAATACATTTTAATACAACAATTAAAGTTTGATAGTAACGCTCAATATAGCTTGACCATATGTCCAACGAAGGATCATATGTGTCCACGCTGCCTTTAGGACCCTCTAACCTTTCTACTGATCCCAGAGAAAGAGACAAACGGCCTTGTGGGTTACGTGGCCTTCGTGTCCTGCGTGTACTACGTGCAATCTCAAAGTAAGATTGGGATGCACCTAAAAGAAACTGGTTACTTGCATCCATGCATTTAAGAAAATATAATTTCACAGGCACAAGAATATAAAAATTATTATGTGATAATGAATATATTTGATTATTGATTTTTATAAAGGAAGTATATAACCATTCAAAATGATATATGATTATATATGTATTTGAAGAGGCAAGGGATTTTGACCAACCCTTCAAAACTAAAACTTAAAATTTCTGAAATAAGGCCACAAAACACATACTAAATATGTTACCATTCTTTCCTCCTTTCTTGCCAACAAGTGGATCCAGAGCCACCGCATTAGCAGCGCCGCCGGTCGCCATGCCTCAGTGTTTTTAGCTGTGGAAGTGAATCTCGGGATATTACTGTTCATGTGAAGATTTTGCAGCGGCGCTGCTGAATACATTGTAAGGGAAACACTGCACTAGAAAATATAATGCATAATGAAACTTTCTAGAGTGCATGTGACGTGTTCACGCACACTATCAAATGCAGTATACTTTGATAGACTGTACACACACACTAGTGTCTGTGTAAAAAACAATGTATACTTTGGGCTTAATGTGGAAAGATAAAACTGACACTGCAGCCTCTGGTATTGCAGGATTATACTGTTGTGACCTTCATCTGCTGGTCGAAATGGTATAAATGCACTTTTACAAACCAACTGCAATGTTTACATGAAAGGTTTATCTATTTAATGTAGTCTATAAATCATATGAAGTGTCAGTATAATTGTATTCTTTTATCAATTTGTAGTTCTCTGTGTTTTTTGTGTAATCGGTTGATTGAAGTGCATGAACTCTCTCTCTGACTGACTCCCTCACCAGTGCGCTGAACTACTGAACTACAGCTGATTGAGACACACAGATTTACTGTGGATTTATTTCTCTTTCTGTTAATTATTCTCATCTTAAACATGACAATTTGTCCAAACACACAGGAAAACTGGAGAAACATCTGAGATCCACATGACACTATTATAAAGATGGCGTTGGTTAAACAGGAGAGTGAAGACATAAAGATTGAAGAAGTGTTCAGCGTGAAACATGAAGATACTGAGGAACAAACAGGTTAGTTTATTTGATCCTTATTAAAATGATCTACAGAAATGAATGATATTTCTGAGGAATATCATTTGAGTGTCCTAATTAAAGCGGTTTTATTTGACATAGAGCGGGTCTTCTCATGTGGACAGACATGTTTGTTGAGGTCACATGACCAGACTAATGCTAATGCTGCTTCAAGAGCATCTGAGAAACTCCCACTTCCATGTGTGACACTCGTTATTACGACATGTAGCTCATTGAATTTGGAAAAATAATATGGGAGTAGCCTAAACAATACAACTATTCTGTGTAACATTAAACCCCATATCTAGTATCTAGCAATAATATTTATTTGCATAAATAAAGCCATCATGAAAGGTAAGTAATTTATATTTGTTGTTTATAAGTGGCAAACTCCTCAAAACTCTCAAACTGATCAATTACACCTTTAAAATGAAATAAGGGGAGGGGGGATCCAGGCGGCATATAACTAAATCATTAGAAAGGAACACTTCACTAGAGAAAAATGGATTATCATATGCAGGGTTTCCGTGGGTCTTAAATCAGAGCAGCAAGTCTTCAATTCATATGGTCATGCCATTAATTTGCGTAAGGGATTGTTTTCTTCGTGTTTTATTTTAAAGTGAAGCGAAAGCGTAATTTCTGTGCTACACGGCTGAGATCACTCATTATTCATTCGGGATACCTCCCTGAAATTACTTTTTACTGGTTGGGATGTCTTTAATGGGTCTGATCAGCATAATGACAGTATGCTCTAAGTAAGTTTGATATAATGGCATTATGTACTAAGTAAAATGATTTTTTAAAAATTGTAAATTGATATACTGACATTACAGGTAGTCTAGCTAGAAAAGAAAATCTCTGCAGGCCATCATATTATGGTCTATTGCATTATTGACCATCGTTTCAACAATCTCGCCAGTGTTATGATTAGCATTTGTTGAAACCAGTGACACGCATACATCTGATTCATATGTACATATACAGAGGATGTCAGTAAGTCCAAACTCATCGCTACATTCACGAATCACATCCAGAACTTCTCTCATCATTACACATGGTGGTTCGGCCCCGTTAACACACCTATTCGTCAAATCAGAGCATGAATTTAAAAAGCACTTATAAAGCACATTTGTTTCTTGAGATACAGATTTTCAACCAGATTCTCGAACACAGGAAATCTTGCAAAATCTCGCGAGACTGCAGAATAAGCATGGCGGACGATATGCAGGAAGAAATTGCGATGATAGTTTTTGGAATGATTTTCACAGAAAATTCACGGGGAAAAAAGTGAAAAGGCTTTGGGTGAAGTCGTGGAGATGGCGGGAATTTAGTGAACTTCTCAGATAAAGGTTGTGGTAATGCACACACGCTGGCCCTGTCTCTCTCCCCTTTCGAAAATGTACCATGGTTTTACTACGAATAAAAAATAAAACATGGATATTTTAGTTAAACCATGATAACCACAAATTAACTTATTTAGTTTTGCTAAAAAAAAAATCTAACTATAGTATTAATTTGGTTATACAAATGTTCAATACGCCTATAATAAAACATCTTTTTAAAATGTTCACTTCTTTTGAAAATTTTCACAACATTTTAACGTCTTTAAAATTTTCGTCTCTCTCTTTCTCTCTCACACACACATCATGTGTACTGGTACACCTATCCTTATATGGAATGGTTTTTATACTGAGCTAATTATATTTTCTGAGCCACAAATCAACAAGCTGATCGTCCATCTCTGCTGTCCACATCAATTTCACTTTGTGCTGCGCCATGACTGCGTTTGTTATGCTTCCGTCTTCCGTCATCTCGCTTTCTGATTGGATATTGTTTCGTTTCATGTGATAATCTCCATAGCGTGCGCGCGTTTGTCCTCGGGGTTCCCCCCACACATCAGGATTTCTGATCGTAAATATTCAACATGTTCGTGATCGGGGCGGCTCCGACATTCTTCCGAGCAGGTTCGGACACTCTTAAAGGAGAACTCCGGTCAATTTTAACATTGAACTCATTTTTTTGTACATATGGAGTGCTGTCAGTACAGACAAAAACGACAAAAAGTTCGAAGTCCACAGTAGTCAATTGTCGAGTTCGCGCGCGTGATCATTAGTTATATTAGTTACCAATGATCGCGCGCGCGAACTCGACAATCGACTACTGTGGACTTCGAACGAAAACAGGAAGTAAATACAGGTATGTGGGCTGGCTGAATTAACATCATTTTTATTAATATCTTGCACATCTACTGCAGTCAGATTGACCGTGGTCACTCTTAATAACACCACTCACATGGCTGTGCTCTTGTAATGACAAATCAAGGTTGTTAAGAGGCTAAAAGCAGGTTTAGAACTTGCCTCATTGAAGTCAACAGGGTGCGAATTATAAAAAGAGGATAACACGGTGTAGGCAACACCGATTTTTGTCGTTTTTGTCTGTACTGACAGCACTCCAAATGTACAAAAAAATTAGCTCAATGTTAAAATTGACCGGAGTTCTCCTTTAACACACCTTACAACAAGGGAATATCTGATAAGATAATCTGTAGAACCATCAAGATAATCAGGACATAGCTAGGATTGTCGGAAGGGGGAAAATCGGCCCAAAATCAGCCCGATTATCTTTTGATCATTATTCCCATGAAAATATTTTCTCAAACATGCGATCTATTATTTAGAACACAATTTAAAGTGGAATTATCATTCACCAGGGAATTATTGCTGCAGTTAAAACATTAAAACGCACCATGCAACAGGAAAACTGTTCAAAAGCAGAGCATCCACAACAAAAATTTCTATTTAAGGTCATGTAATGTTGTAACTTCTGGATAATGATTTCATGAAATTTCAGTGCTTAACTCCATTAGTGAGAGTGGCATATTTAATCTAAATGTGTATATTAAATGTAAAACAGAGTTTAAATCATTGTGTACTTAGCTCATACTAGTAAAAGAGTGCGTACACACAGTCTAGAGTGTCTGTATGGTACGCACATATTTACGCCTAGTTTATATTTTATAAATCCCGATATGTGCATGGAAAATTGCGAATGCCCATTTTGCGTACGCAACGTTTAAACATCAGGCCCCAGGTGTAAACTTGAATGGGTCTCTCTCATTCTGAATCTTCTGAACAGATTGACCTGACAAAACAAGGCCTTTGTTGGCCTTGATGTTTTGCTTTGTGCCATTAAACTAGGGTTAACTTGTATTTGCTTTTGTTTTGCTTTAGACGTGATGCACCTGAAAGAGAAGAGTCAAGAACTGGAGGAATTTGAAGTTAAAAATGAGTATGAGAAAGATCATGATTTCAAAACTGAAGAAAAATCTTTTAATTGCTCAATGACAAAAAAGGTTTCCTCACGAAAAAAAGCTGTGAAGACAAAAACTAAAAGTGTTTTCACCTGCCAACAGTGTGGAAAAAGTTTCGCTCGAAAATCAAACCTTAATGTACACATGAGAATTCACACTGGAGATAAGCCGTTCACCTGCCAACAGTGTGGGAACAGTTTCATTCGTAAATCAAGCCTTGATGTCCACATGAGACTTCACACTGGAGAAACCCCATTCACCTGCCCACAGTGTGGAAAGAGTTTCAATCAAAAATCAAACCTTAATATTCACATGAAACTTCACACTGGAGAAAACTCTTTCACCTGCAATCTGTGTGGGAAGAGCTTCTCACGAAAAGAAAATCTACAGATTCACATGAGAATTCACACAGGAGAGAAGCTGTCCACATGTGATAAGTGTGGAAAGAGTTTTTCACTTAAAGGACTCTTTAAGGACCACATGAGAATTCATTCATGTGCCTTTACTGTGGAGTGACTCAACATAAGCAAGCCTTGAGATTCACATGAAAATTCACACTGGAGAGGAGCCTATCAAAGAGACTTGAAACATCATTTGCAAACCTTTTCTCTAAAGAAACTTAAATGTTCCAAGTCTGCCAAGAGATTTTATAAAAGAGAGCAATTTCAAAAATCGCCTCTGCATTTACTCTGGAGGAAAGGGATTTAATCTTGTTCAGTGTCATGCTTGCAGATACACTTGTCTTGGCAATTTTAAATGCCACCAGCAAATCTATGTGAAATTCATTTTGCTTTCATTTATTTCATTGTTCAATGGATCGGAATCAAAATGTTAGATTTAGATAATCTTCTGTCTTGCTGTGAAATGCTACAATGTAAATAGAGAAATTACAAATAAAAGGACATTAACTACAAACAGGACATAAACAACAACAACATTGCATTGAATTATTTGATTCCTCTTCAGTGAGAGAATGCACAAGTAAACATTGTTTCAGTTGTGACTTGAATATTCCTATGGTTGGAGTGGGTGACGACATCAGGACGACATTATGTTTCAGTAGGCCTGCTCTGGTGAAGTAGGGCATGTCTATGAAACGCATGTGCCATACTTGCGTAAAAGGAAGTTTTGATTGGTCTATATCTATATGTGAGGCTGATGTGAATGTCTATGCACTCTTGTGTTTGTCTGATGAGGCGCTTCCTTCATCACCGTCTTTTGCTTTCAAGATCCGGTATTGCTGATCAAGACTGGCTGATTGTATTTAGCCAATTTTGTGATTTGTGATCAGCAGAATTCAAGTCACTATAAAGAGTGAAGTGAGAATTATGACAGTGCAGAGCCTCGTCTGTGTGGCTTGTAGAGTCTTAGGGCGTTTTCACACCTGAAAGTCCGCACCAAGGTCCGAACCAAAGTTCATGTTTTGATACATTTTATACTTACAGAAAGTTTTGGTTTGGTTTCACACTGCAATTATGCGAGCGCACTAAAGAATTTTACATGACATACTTGCATCCTGTCGTCATCATTTATGTCGGCTGCATCTTGACATTGATTGGTTTTGTAAATGGACGTGCGTCTGACGTCAGCGTGTTGTCAATTCAGCGGGTAACTTTGACAACATGAATGAACAGACGCATATCGTTGCAACTATATTGTTATTTTTATGGCATAATTACCTGCGTCCTCGTCGTGCGAACATTTTATCGTCGCCGGCAGGAAAGGAGGAGAAGACTGCAAGTTGACTTCTTATGTCATCAGACCATACTTCAATTAATAACCTCGTCTCCTCCTCTCCTCATGTGCTACACGGCTCATTTTTCCTGCCACCTTCTGTTTTTTCGGCTATGCGGGAACCACCAGAACTTCCTGTAAAATGTCTGAAAGTCCGAACCATACAGAAATGCTTTCACACTAGAAACGAACCAAACCTTTGTTCAGTTTGATCCGGACTGAGACTACCTCTTTTCGTCGGACCAAATTTCATCTGTTTGGTCCGGGTAGGTTTCACACCTGTAATTTTGATTCGGACCAAACTGAAAAGTCCGAAAGTCCGGACCAAACAAGGTAGGTGTGAAAGGGCCCTTAGCCTTAGTCCTGCATCAAATGTTTTTAGTTTTTATCAAATTTAGTCAACCTTGTCCTGTTTTTTTTTTTAATCAAGTTTTAGTCAACGAAATATCTGGTAGTTTTAGTCAATGAAAAGTTTGTTGCTGTGAGATTGTTTCTTGTTTCTATCTGTATGATCGTATGCTCATAATTCAGAAGATGGCTTGATTGAAATCTGTGTAAAATGTATATTGTATCCTTATTATAAGAAATCATGACTAAACTTCACTCTCTGTACTTTCTGCTCAGAGTGGGAAGGTAAAAGTCCACAGCTAACGCTTGATTTACGATGAGAGGGGAAGAAATACCCACCTCTGAACTAATAACAGTGTTAATAACTCATCCAGGAGGCTGGACAAACATTTGAGTTTAAAATCTTAGGACACTAACAAAGCATTAGAAGATACTTAGAGTAATCATGGAGAAGCCATGACGGAGTAACCAGACAGATAAGTAAACATGCAGACGAAAGAACCCAAATCAAGATCAGAAGAACATGGGTAAAACAGCTTCTTTCAAGCCATATAACTACTTTCGTCTCACTTTTCTTTCTCTTACTTAGTTTATTTTCTTACAAAACTTTGAGTTTAAAATCTTAGGACACGAACAAAGCATTGGAGTAGACATAAAGACTTAGATGATTTAGATGATTCAGACCAGACATGTAGACGAGCAGGCAAGAGACTGCAGATCAAGATCAGAAGAACATGGGTTAAACAGTTTCTTTCAAGGCATCCATCTACTCTCATCTCATTTTTCTTTCTCTACTTAGTTTCTTGTCAGTTGAGAGTCTCTGTTCTAAGTTAAGTTTTGCTGCCAAGCTTCAGTCAACGATTTGACAGAAAAGCCTGCTTCCAACTTCAAAGATTGTCCATCCAATCGCCAACACACCACATGATTAGCCGCCCAAGACATCTATCCAGACACAAGGAGACAGCCAGCCTATCAATGAACCCGGAAAATTCCCTTTTCGAGTAAACGACGCAGACAAAAGGCAATTCCCAAAAGAACGCAACAAACGCAAGTACTCTCCAGACTCTTAGCTGAACTGGTGCTTTGATATCAAATTTAATAACCTGCCTAAGAAACGATAGAAGGGTTAAATTAATGGTTGATGGTTGTTCAGGTCATGTCTTATAAGTGCATATATTGTTAGAAACTTGGGATTTCACCATCTCACTCTTAAAAACACTCTTGAATTCTTTCCTCACTTTCTATCTTTATTTCTTTCTGCAACTCGTATGAATTGTGTGTGTTTGTGTTAGACATTAGTTCTATGTGTTAGAATAATCAATAAAGTCTTGTTTGTATTTAAAAGAGAAGTGTTCTTGTGTTATGTGCTTACAAATGTAATGTCTTAAACTGCTGATCTATGTTACCTTGCTAATAAATAGTGTTTTCTCTATAGTTTGGATATCGTTCAAGTGAACACTGGACAAGTCATTTGCTTGGTCGTAAAATAAGTGACTCTTTCAGAATTCCCTATAAATTAATTAATAATTCCCTTTGAGCTAAATTGACCTGTTTCCCTTACAGTGAAATGGTCGGTCTCCAAAGCAAACTCTCAGCCTAAGAGGTAATAATGGAGGGCTTCCAGGGACCACTTGATTGCCAGACTTTCTATTTCAATTGTGGTAGACCTGGTTTCTCTGAGCAATAGCTTCTTACTGAGGTAGGTGACTGGTTTCTCTTCTCCTTCAGGCCAGTACCATCCCTATTACTTTATCTGAGGCATAGACTTGCGGACTGAAGCACATCTTTGTGGCGAAGTTTGGGATTAATTCGTCGGTACCAGCCTGCAAGACCCAGGAATGACCTGACCTCTTTCTTGGTCCTTGGTTGCGAACTGCATCTAATCGCCTCTACTTTGTCCACTTGAGATCTCAATTCACCATTGCCCAGGCGGTACCCCAAATAGCTGGTTTCTTGTTGAGCCCACTCGCACTTCACCACGTTCAAGGACAGACCCGCTGCATGGATTGTCTCCAGGGTTTGTTGTAGATGCCTTAGATCAGGGATGGGCAACGTCGGTCCTGGAGGGCCACTGTCCTACAGAGTTTAACTCCAACCCTGAAAAAAGCACCTGCCTGTAACTTTCTAGTAATCCTGAAGACCTCAATTAGCTTGTTCAGGTGTGTTTGATTAGGGTTGAAGCTAAACTCTGTAGGACAGTGGCCCTCCAGGACCGAAGTTGCCCATCCCTGCCTTAGATAGTCTTCCCAAGTTTTGCTGTAAACAATGACATCATCAAGATAGCAGCAGACCACTCTTCACATCCCTGAAACACCGTGACCTTTTCATCTCTAAAAGTTGACAGGTGCTCCGTATAGGCCAAAAGGTAAAACCGTGAACTGGTATAGTCCTAATTAACCCTCTGGGGACCAGAAACGCGCCGGCGCGTTTTGCCGGGTTTTTTTTCACATAGCAGAAAAATAGACTTAAAATACTCTGTTGATTTTGATCGTACATATAAGTGTTATACATCAATCGATCCTGTTAATTGTCTATTATTTTTCTGTATACTCACAATAAAAACAAAGTTTTGTGCTTTTTGTCAAATAAAGAAAAATAAACATGATGCGAGTTTTGCCTTCTCTCTGTCAGTGCAGTCCATTCTGAAACACGTCTGAAAAATTTACTCTAACTCTGCAAATACTTGTCATACAGGCACGAGAGATTTTTCTTTATGAAGCTTGAATTCTCTTCTTTTCAATGAAGTAATTTATATAAAAAACAAATATTCTCAGTTTATGTAATCTGTATGAAAAGAGAGTGCTGTCCGAATTTTTTTCCCCAGCTCATTACACTTCATTACGCGTTAATCTGACACGCCCACGGAGGACGCGCGCTATTCAAACGCAAATGTCGGCAAGCCATGACAATGCCCACATCAGCCGTTCCACCGCGGCGGTAAAATGTGGGGTGTATTTTCTGCCTTTTACCGCTAAGAGGCGCTACAATCATAGACTCTGAAAAGTGTTCGTTTATTCTTTCTAATGCGTAATCTGCCGCCGCACCGCGGCTCATTCAGAGCGATTAAAAGCTGGTAGCAGATGAATTCAACAAGTGAAACGTAGTTAAAATAATTCATAATCACAATACTGAAATTAGACTACTGAAATGAAATTGAATAAATAATGAAAACATAAAACATTGCAATCAAAACATTTACAGACGTACAGACGATAGCTCAGTGGTTAACGCAACAACACGAGCTTCGAGGAGCATCAAACGACCCGAGATCGAATCTCAATGTAGCATACATGTTGTTAACCGATGTTGGCCAACAGCGTTTATATTTTACCTTCTTGATGCTTAAATAGCTAACTGTTTATAACTGTTTACTTATTTAAAGTCAAGAGTTTTGTTTAATTATCATAACATAAATTTGCTACATTCCTGTAGAGCCGCAGCCGCTGCACAAACGACAAAAACTGATGAAGGAAGATTGTCAGCCGATTGCATCAGAAAATGAAAATGAAGAAGCTCGTCTTTAGTCTGCTAAATTATTGTGTAATGTAAAAGAACAC